TAACCTATTAAGATTCTCTGAATACCATTGAGTTTATGTTTGATTTGTTTTAACTGTCATTTTTGTGTCAGTTTCACTTTGTTAATATACTTTTAAAAAATCTAAAAAAAAATTACTGGAATGTACTTGCATGCTGAAAAGTAATCTTGGTCAAAATAAACTATTTCATTAATATTAAACTGGTGGATTACAAAAATATTTTAAATAAAAAGGGAACAAGATGATTATAGAAGTCCCTAGCTAGAGCATCTTGTACCCAACAGCGTCCACTGTTGCCATAGTCCCCCTCTTTGTCTTCATAATCAATCACTCATTCCTCTTATATGACTGGGAAAGGGCGGTAGAACTACTTGTTGACCCTTCTTTTCTTCTTTGACCTCTTCATGCTTTTTCTCTTTGGCTTCAAAGCAGCTACTGATGAACCTCCTTCTGAAGGTCGTTCAGGTACTGCTAAAGTTGCCTCTTCAGAAGTAAGTATTGCTGAGGGAAAAGGCTCAGTTGTAGAGGACTGAGAAGCAGCTCGCCTCTGAGGGGGTTGGATTTCTAAACTCGTAGAGCTCTCAGTAACATTTGTTATGACGGATGTGTTATGACTCTCAGTTGATGACTTCATATCTCTAAGTAGATGATTGGTGAAAATTATTTAGGAGTTGGATGTTTTTATAATGGCTTTTGTGGATACCAAGAATCTAGAAAATTAATACTTGTTTAATTCTTGAAATAGTAACGACCATTAATACTTTAAAGCATGCACTGTACAAACATTAATGATTCTTATTACTTGATTACTTTTTCGCCTTGGAAACTGATCCTATAATAATGATTTGAGATACATTTATTAGTGATGTTTTTCTTCTTCTTTTCTTTTCCTTTTATTCTTTTTGATGTGCCAAAAGGGGAGAAATAATAGTAAGTATTTAAGTGGAAACTGAACTCATTGAGTACCTATTCAGTTGTACATATTAGTCATTTATTTTATTGTCATTTATTTTCTGTTTTTATGGTTACCTTGTCCATGGCGTATTTTAACTTTCATGTACATAGGTCCAAGTAAAAGCTTACAAACCTATGACTTAGTCTATCATACCCAGAAGGAGCTTGCAAACCTCATATTCTAGTGTTGCCAAAGAAAGTTAAAAGGGCAACATATTTTAACTCTCTTGTACATAGTGTTAAGTAAGAGCTTACAAACCTCTGACTTAGCCTATTTATGTGAGGGCAAACCCTCATATAGCATACATACTTGAGTTTCGATGATAACAAAACGCGATCATGGATGAATCGGTTTTCTCGACTCTACCTCTACAACAAATGCAATATTTCACCTCTCATATCATTCTTATATACATCTAACTTGTCATATTAAATTCAATATATATGGGAGACCAATGATTATGACTAGATGCATAAAAACCACAAAAATATGTATTTTTGCAGATTTGCAGGGTTTGAGTCGACCACAAGTCGACGCATGGATCAGTGTGAAAACCCACGGGTCGGTGCACACCGACCTATGGTCGACGCATACTGTGAAGACATTTCAATTTGCCTAAATTTGCAGACTATGCGTCGACGCATAGTCCTGCGATGGCCGACCGTTCGCTCGTTTATGCTGTTGCTGAAGACTTTCCACTTTGGGTGAAAAGTTGTTATGTTTGTTGGCTTGTTGGTTACTACATATAGATGTTTTATGTTCATTTCTCAACAACAATTGAATTTTTGAGTCAATTGCAACCCAACAAGAAAAGTGAAATAGGTGCCATCAAATCTCTTCATCTTCATCCTCAACAGTTCACAACACAACAATTACACACAATAATTCTTGGTGTGCTTTGTGTTTTGTTCAAGGTGATAAGGTATGAAGCCGTCGATTGGGAATCCGGTTCGGGTTGAGCTTGTGGCAGGTTTTTCTTGAATAAAACCTTGAAGGTTTTGTCCTCCAAGATTAGGAGAATTTGGGGGGTTTTTGGTACGGATCGTCTCTACCAACTTTCAGCTGAGCGAAGGTGATTGAGAAGCGTAAGGTTTCATCAATCTAGTAGCGGGAATCAGTGAAGTGTGCAAGAGAGTTCCGGGTTCGATTTGTGTGTGCTTGAGATCATCCGGGCCGAGGGTTTGAAGAACGGAAGGTTATTCAACAAAGGGGCTGTAATCGGAGGTCTACTCACAACGATCGAAGAACTTGATTCGACTCGAATCAAGGAACAAGGAGAGAAAGCATCATTAACATCAAGAGAGCTTGTTTGTATATTTTGCTTATCTATCCTTGTATAAACATTTCAACTCTACAGGTGATATCTATTATATTGAGCTCAATTCTATTATTAGAATTGAGGGCATACGTACCTCGATGCGAGGACGGCGGGGGAACTGCCTCAACAAATCTTTGTCTCCTTTATTTTTCTGCACTTTCATTTTTGCTTTAAAATTGAGTAATTTTAGTATAAGCAATTCTATCGAAATTATTATTGGATTGAGTAAGTGCTTATCACTGTTTTGAACTCTAGTACAATAGTATATTGTACAGGGAATCTAGAGTTACTTACTCAAGTCAAAACTCACTTGGAGTGCCTCGCACACCAAGTGTTTGATAAATTGTCTACACCAAAATTCACTTGTGTTGTTTACATATTTTTGGGCATTGTGTAGCATTGAAACTAGTCTTACTAATTAGTGGTAAAATCAATTGATAGTGTGACTAGTGTGTTGAATCTATTTGCTCATTATCATTTCCATAAGGCTAGACGCATATCCGGTCTTCTAATAACGGTTCGTTTTAGACGGTAATTTTTCCACGGCCGCTTCTGCAAATCAAATTTTTTTAAAACTAATTTTTAATTGGTAAGCGCCTACTGATTTTTAATTGGGATCTATTCAACCCCCCTTCTAGTTCCGAGCCATCGTCTAACAATTTAGACTCAGAAAGAGCTTACAAGATATTGCCAAAGGAAGTTAAAATGTTATTATTTTGGTTTTGTTAAATATGGAACTAAGGGGGAGCTTACAAACCTCAACCTTGAAACTGTTTGACTCAGGGGGAGCACACGCACGCACGCGCGCAAACACACGCACGCACGCGCACACACGCACGCACGCACACGCGCGTACACACAATGTTGAACCTTGTCACCTCGAAGTTCGAACAAGGATTAATCATCATTTGATAGAAATTATTAAAATATCAACTAGTATAGAAGATTAAAGAAACAAAAATAAAATACAATGAACACGGCCGATTTTGTTAGCGAATTTAGTCAATAGTGTCTACCTCTGCGACTATAGAACAACTATAGTTACATTTTATTTATATAATAAATTAGGGTTACAATGTTACGCTTAAATTAATAAATAAATAAAAAAAATTCTTTTGTTAAAATAAAAGTGAAAAAAAAGTCTTAACAGAGTACAAATTTATTTTCGAACTATCTCTCGTATTACCACTCATTCTAATGTAAATATTTTTCTCCAAATATTTCCGCCATTTAATGAGAGAAGATGTTGAAGTGGGTCACATTTCATCTCCACAACCATATTCGAAGGAAAAAATATAAAAATTGAAGCGTTCATTAATTTTCGCACAAGCTACTATCTTAAAATTAACATGTTTAAAAGACAATGGCATTGATGAAGTTAATGGAAAATATAAGGGCAATGTCATAGATTCACAACTATATATGAAACCCTCTCTTCAGCTCTCAGAGTCATTCATTCATTCACAATCAAGTTACTCATTAAGTTCATTCAAAGTTCAAACATACCAAAACACAACATGTCTCTGATCACCGATGAGATCAAAGCCAAATCAGAGATGTACTATGGAGATGAAATGTGCCAAATCAAGTCCAAGGAACTGCTCGGGGAAATAAGCATGCCCAATGGCCTTTTGCCATTGAAAGATATAGAAGAATGTGGATACCATAGGGAGAGTGGGTTTGTGTGGCTAAAGCAGAAAGCAAGCTATGACCACAAGTTTGTGAAAGTTGATAGGCATGTGATTTATGGTACTGAGGTCACAGCCACTGTTGAGGTTGGTAAGATCAAGAAGCTTACTGGTGTGAAGGTGAAGGAGCTCTTAATGTGGCTTCCTCTTCATGAAATCGTTATGGATGAACCACCTACTGGCAAAATCACCTTCAGGGCTGTTACAGGGCTTTTCAGGACATTCCCTGCTTCAGCTTTTGAAATTGAAGGGGAAGTAAAGGATGTGAAGGAAGAAAACAAAGATGAAGTCAAAGAAACTGCACCTGCTGCTGCTGCTCCTGTTGAAGTCAAAGAGGTTTGAATCTGATTCTGAAGTATGCATGTTCATTAAAATAAGTTCATTAAAATCTCGTTATGTTATGTTTCAATACATTGTATTCCTTTCAATTCCTTGCTTTACAGCAATGTTTGTTATGTTTCAGTCTTTGATTATGCTGCTCTCATGGAGCTGTTTACTTAAAGACTAAGAATATATGAAATTATAATCATTTATCAAGAAATATGATCAAAGATAATTATAAAATTTATTCTCTTCATAGTCTTTACTTGAGCTTAGGGTGACTCCAGGTTCAAGAGCAATGAATCCAGCTAAAATTAAACATGCTATGTCTCCCAATGAAACTTACTATTTCCACCTGCATTCTTTAAAAATAAACAGACACGCCTTAAAAACTAGCATTTATTAAAAGAATGGAAGGAATAATAAGTCGCAAAATAAAACCCAGCAAACCAGAATCTGAAAGAATGAAATGCAAGTTCAGATCAGGTACACTGATTGAGATCTAAGTACACCTCCAAATTCATTACAAGCTACAGAACTCAGAACCTAAAATGGCATTTAACCCGTCAAGTTGAGTTCAAGGTTTGATATATGAATACTACAAGTCCAAAGTTTTGATCCATGAGAACTACAAGTTCGAAGTTTTGGCTAGTAAGAACTAAGTCTAAAATATACAATTTTTATTTTCATTTTTCCATGGCGCCTGGTGTTTTCTTCGACCTCTGGTTGCTTCCAAAGTTCAAAACTTCAACGCCTGAAATAGTTTAAACCAAAAGCTTGAGGTTAGGATCACCAAATCAAAATATGTTATTGCATGCTGAAGATGCAAGGATATATCATTTGCTCTATTTTAGTCACAAATTGGTTGCTAGGACCTAATAAACACTGTCATTCTAGGTCGACATTAAGTATTGGTCAATAATATTAGTAAATGTCTTAATAAGCCAATTTCTTTGATGGTATACAACATGACCCAATATGTGCACGTGGCTACTCAAACTATTGCTTTTACAGACAGTAATCAAATATTGTGCATGACATTACAGATACTTTCAAACTACTCTTTCAATCAATGTATAATACACAAAAGAAGATAAAAATTAGTGATACGATAACAAGCCTAGGAAACACATGATTTCCACCTTGATAGAAGTAAAACAAATTATAATGCAAATGAAAGCCAAGTTTACTGAACTACAGACAAATTTCAATGAAAAATGTAAAGGTAAAAATTGGAGAACAATTGATTCAACATATCTTATCCGTTGAGCCAATCATACAAAATTAAAGGGAGACAAAGCATATGTTAATCATATGATCAAAATAGTATGGATGAATACCAAAGTTCTGTTAAACAATCACCACTTAACAAAACCCACAATGTTGTATAAAAAATGCAGAGCAAATTTGGTTAAGTACTGAGATAAACATTGATAATCCAGATTCTTGAAATCTATACCACAAAAGCAAGTTACTAAAAAGACAAACAAACCCACTAATAATCACTGACTTGAATTTCAGTCATTAATCATCTTAACTGTGTTATTAAATGTAAACTATTTTCCTGAGAAGCAATCAATTTAAAAACATCGACAGGATACCTCACCATCACAATGCCAAGTCACAAGTTTCAAAACATCATGCTTTTACCCCAGATTCCATCAAGGATGAAATCCAATCCCCCAAAAGATTGAGTCAGTTTAAATAAGATTTTTTTCTTTTTTGCTGCAGACACATGCTTCAACTAATCTAAAGGAAGACTAGAATTCCTCTTTGAAATGGTCTAGTGATACAGCAACAAAAGTCAATTCTCACAAGGCAACAAGTTATTTTGATAGTATACTGATATGAAAATCAATTCAAACCTACTTTTAAACGGAAGTGTCAGTGTGCATGCTCAAAAGAACAAGTATTGCAATCATACCTTAGAAGCCATGACCCATTTGTTATCCACCCAGTCCTGATGCAGCCTCAACTGGGAATGTTCAAACTCCAGCTCTTCATTAGAGTTCCTGAAATAAACTATATATTTGGAGTCCCCAAGAACTTTAGAAACAACCCCAACCCACCAACCATCATTGTAATAGGTATCCACTTCATCAAGAAACTTAAACTGATCAACCTCATCAGTTTTTGGTGGACGAGGCCTAATTTGCAGGATACTGCCCTCCTCTCTCAAAAGCTTTGAATCATCATCGAGCAGGCTCTCATACTCGACAACAAACTTCCCTCCTGCCTTAGGCTCAACAAGGGTTGCAGAAAACCAAGCCCCTTTAAAACCATCTTCGTCACTACACACCTCAACCAAATCCCCTTCCTTAAACTTGAAATCATCCTTGTCTCGGGTCACAGTTTCAGCAGCCTTAACACACACCTTTTTCTTAATTTCACTATCATCCTATAACATTAATAATTAACAAACAATATCATTATCACCACTCACAAGATTTAATCAAAAGCAAATAAAGTTAATTAACACTAACATCCTAAGACATGCAACAACAATGCAACCCTAAAATTCAACCTAACCGCAATAAACAATAGAAATCAAAGCACACCTGTTGTGGAAATGGCGGGATCCAACCTCCATTGACCCACTCACGTTGGAGCCTGAGTTCCTCATCGCGGAACTCCAGCTGCTCCCTCGAGACTCTGAAATACACTGTCTTTCTACCATCCTCTAATATTCCAGCGACGTGACCCTCCCACCATCCGTCGTTGTGGTAAGCGTCAACTTCATCACCAAATTTGAAGTCCCGGGTGATCTCCTTGGGGGGAATTGGCCGGAGCTGGTGAAGCCTAATAGATTCTTTAAGGCGCTTGGTGATGTCTTCATCCACCATTAAGTTGTCATACTCGACCATGAACTTGTCACCGACGAGACGACGGACGATCTTGCCGGTAAACCATGAACCACGAAATCCGTCGTCATCGGAGCTGATTTCGACTAAGGTTCCAGGTTTGAAGATGGATGAGGCTGGGGAGGAGGAGCGTGTTTTGGAATTGGATGCCATGGATAATCGGGTTAGGGTTTCGCAGCTGTGATTGCAGAAATGGAAATGAGAAACGGTGAAGTGAATGAGAATGAGAGTAGAGTGGGTCTATTATAACTTTTTTTTATTAAATAGATTATTATAGTGCTTGGCGGGAATTAGATCGAGTTTATTATGTTATGCTAATTTCATTTTCAAACCCACCGTTATTTATTCTCTTGTTTTAATTTTTTTTTCTGTTCATTCAACTCAAATAATTCGAACTCCTTTCAGTACTAACTTGTGGTAACTTTGTTTGTTTTGCAGCTATACCCAAGAAAAGCACACCTCAACAGTCGGTTGAGACAAAGGATGAAGGCAGCAAGGTGCTTCACATACCTCTTCCTTTCATTGATTAGTCTTGATCTCTTCTAATGCTTCTTATTAACTCAGACTTCCCAAAAACTACTGGCAACACCTCCTAGGAAGTTGAAAAGGGCCACTGCCCAAATTATTATTGACTCAGAGGATGATGACCAATCTCCTCCTGAAGACTTAAAGCTGAAGAAGAGGAAGAGAGCCAGCCAAGGGACAAATGCTGTTGGTAGCCAATCTAATCCAAAAACGGCTAAAGTCTCCAAAAAGGCAACCCCCATCAGCGATGCTGCGGAAGCCTCTTCTAAACCAGCCATGGGTCATGCTGAGAGTGATAATTCTAGCCCTGCTGCTGATGGTGTCAAGGTAACTCATCACTTCATTTTTGAAATGCCCACTTACTTGCCTTATTTCTTTTTACCATAATTTGTTTCCTCTTCGATTCAGGCTGATGCAGGTGGCTCGAAGCCAACAATGGATAATCCTTCTTCTCCAACCACCATTCTGAACAACCAAGGTGAGCCCACATACCATCCTACTTCTAATTTGGGCTCTGAAATGAGTTCACTTGGTGAAATTGACAAACCTAGCTTTGAAACAGCTCCCCCTTCGCCTACAAAGACCGCTACTCAGCAGTCTCAAACAGATGGCTCTGACCACAAGGAAGATGATGATCAGCAGGATCTTGAGACACAAGATCCAAGAGACGTCCATATGAAGGAAATCGAAATCTTGGCTGATGAAGACAACTCCCCCAGTGGAAGATAGTCTTGGTGACAAAAATGTTGATCTATAAGGGAGTGAGGAGATAAAGGAAGATGATGAGACCATCCATCAGTCTGAACTCGATGGCCATAGTGATGAAAACGCTGGTGACGAAATGGATGAAGGCAAAGAAGATGAGGGCAAAAGTGAGGAGGAGAAAACTGAGAAAGGATCTGGTAATGAGTCGACCTATGTCGAGACCACTACTACTACAACCACAACTGCTGCTACTGAAGGCAAGGTAACATCCACTCTGTATGGAGCAGGCCTTTCTGAAAAGGAACTCGACGCCTTGAAGATTAGCAACCCTCGACAATACATCAAGATCCTTCTTGGGAGTCGAGGAAGTTCCTCTGGAAAAACTCTCAGTGCTTCAACTACCTCTAAAGACCAACCTTCGAGCAAGCCTGAGGACAACATCCTTCTGAAGATCAAAAAAAAATCTTCAAGGGTGATCTTTTCACACTCTTGTAGATGGATAATGTTACCCGTATCTCTCTGAAAAATCTTCTCCAACAAATCGACATCCATGTTGTCTCCCCTGAATTTGCCACCATCATTCTAGAGCTTGGCACTATGATAAACCAAGTTTATGGTGACCTCAAGCGTTTGCCTTAAATTGAGAAAGCCATTTCGACCAAATCTAGAAGCGAGGTTGCCGCTTGGGCTTCTGCCACTGAATCTGAGAATAGGGTAGCAGAATTGAAGGAAACCAAAGAAAAGAACAAACAGGAGATTGCCTCTAATGAACAAAATACTGCTTCCTGGGAGCGAAAGATCAAGAAGCTTCGAGCCAAGATCTCGAAGGCCAAAAAAAGCAATAATGAATTGTCTGCTTTTGATGATTCTGGCCTATCGAAAGAGCTTGATAATGCTATAACTTTTGCTGAGGAGGCTCGACAACTGGAGAAAGAAGTTGCACGCTTAAGGTATGACAAAACCTTGTGTGAAAGGTGTCTTGAACTCTAGAAGTCGAAGTATTCGAAGATGAAAGAGAATCTCCCTTTTTAGCTTATTACTTTGTTTGTAATGTTTACTTCTTTTTTAAAAAATACCATGTTTCATAGTCCTTTGAGACTTTATTTTGTAATGACTTTAAGCTATTTTGACACCTATGAATACCATTATTGGTTCTTCCTTTTACATCAAATTATTTTTTAGAGATTTTAATTTCTTAAAGCGTTGGTTTATATTTTTTTCAAATACTTTCCATTTACTTTCAAGATTCTTTTATCCTCATTTAATTCTTCAACTTCATAGGCTCCATTAGAAAATACTTGCGTAATTTGAAATGGGCCTTCCCATTTTAGGTACCATTTGCCCAAGGCTCTGACCTTTCGATCTATAGGCAGGATTACCTTTGAAACTAAATCTCTAGGAAAAAAGGTTTTAACCTTAACCTTTTTATTGTAAGACTTCTCTACTCTTTTCTTTTGTCTCCTTAAAATTTCTAGAGCTTTAAGTCTTTCTTCGTCCAAATCTACCAACTCATCCAAGATCATATTCCAATAAGACTCTGGAGGAATTTCATGATGTCTCTGAATCCTAGTCGACTATAGGTAGATCTCAACGGGTAACACTGCATCGTGACCGAAAGTCAATCGAAATGGATTAGTGTTAGTTGCTTCTTTAGGAGAGGTTCGACATGCCCATAGGATCTGGTCCAACGTCTTATGCCAATTTCTAGGCTTCTTTCCCACATGTTTTTTGATCAAACCAATCACCACTTTATTAGCTGCTTCGACTTGACCATTAGCTTGAGCATAATAAGGTGTAGAGGTTAAGAGTTTGAAACCCATATCTTTAGCAAACTCCTACATCTTTTGACCAATAAAGACTAATCCTTTATCTATTGTGATCGTTTCTGGAATTCCAAACCTGTAAATGATGTATTTCTGAATAAACTCGATTACATCCTTTTGATCCACACTTGGTAAAGGTATCGCTTCGATCGACTTCGTAAAGTAGTTAATTCATACCAAAATGTATCTTTGATTCTTGGAGGATGTTGGTCGAATCTCTCCAATAAAATCCAAAGTCCAACCTCTAAAAGGCCATAGTTTGACTATGGAATGCAACTCGCTTGCAGGGACATGTTGTATGCCAGCTTGAACTTGGCATTCCTGGCAGCTGTTAGATCCCAATTATAGTAGATATTTGATTTCTTTTTAGTAGTTTTTTTAATCGTTTTCATCTAATAGTATTTGATTTAGTAGTCTAATTTGTTTAGTTTCATTTTGTTGTGATCCAAGTGAATGGTGTTTGTAATGTTGCTGTTAGTGTGCAGGATTGACACTAATAAGAGCACCTTGGGAGACAAGACAAAGCAGTCTGGAGAAGTTGCAAACCAAAGCATTCGCCTGGCGAAGCTCAGCGAATGCCAGCGAATGTTCGCCAGGCAAGTGCTGGCAAGCTAGAGCGAGTAATTCAGAATTAACTCCCAGACTTAAAAGATAGGAAGTTCGCCAGGCGAAGGTGCTGGCGAAGAAGTGGTAGCTTTCCTCATGCAAATTCCAGTAGCAAAACCACCCAAAGTTCGCCTGGCGAGTGAGGCCAGCGAATGTTCGCCTGGAGAGTGAATTGTTCGCCTGGCGAATACACGATACCTCAGAGGGCGGTTTGCTAGACAGAGGCACTTTGAAGTGCCAAGTTATTTTTGGTTCGCCTGGCGAAGGTCATGGTTCGCCTGGCGAATGTGCGCAGACAACACTTCCTTTTTACTTTATTGGTTGCTTTATATAGCCCATACCATGTATTTGGAAAGTGATGAATCTTGTAACATAAGAATAGAGCTCTAGAACCATAAAAACATTAGTTCTTCTTCATTTTGCTATTTTGTGTGCAATCAAGGAGAAGTGGAATCACATCCTTCATCGATTCTTCGAAGTGGATGTTCTTCATCTTCTTCATATCCTTCTTGTTCAAGCTACCATGAGATTGAGTGGCTAATTTCTTCTTGTTGTCAAGGTTAGATGTAGGTGATCATCAACCTTTGTATGTAAATGTATTGATCTTCATTTGTATTGTAAACTCTTGGATGATGAATGAATGATGAAAACTTTGCTTTATTGAAAACTCTTTGTGTTGGTTTATAATTGAGAGATATTTTCCAACTCTTAACCTAGGTTTTCATCCATCTTTGTTTTTAAGCTAGAGATAGTTAAGAATGAAGATGTTCACTTAAAATGTTAAACTTTAATGTTATCAGTTTGATAGATTGTGTGAGAGATCAACAATGGATCAAAACGGTAAAACCCACAATGCGAGTTAGAGATAATCACATTGAGAGCATGTTGTGAATGAGTTTATTATCTAGATGGAGTTTATAAATCTTGGTGATTAAGCATATGCATGCAAAGTGATCATTGAAACCTAACTTTGGCAATCTTTCTTTAAATCGTCAAACCCTAATTTTTACCGTTGTTTATAACTTTTTAGGCAAGATACCGTTTTTAAAACCAAACCCTTTGTTACTATAAAACTATGAATTTAACAACTGTCGTACGGCGACAAAATCTTATATTCCCTGTGGAGACGATAACAAAAACCCGACACTTTACCATTGTCCCAACAAAATGGCGCCGTTGCTGGGGAATATAAATTGATATTGCAAGCATCGCAATAGTTGCTGAATTTTTAGTTTTGAATCTTTGATTTGTGCTTGTTAATTTGTATGGTTTAGTGTGCAGCTTCTGCTTCTGTTTATGCGAGGACAGATTCCCGAGGACCAACTCCTTTTTGATCCAGAAATAGAAAAGACCGCGAGAAGATTGAACAGCAAACAAGACGGAGGAGGCAACTTACTAAACAAAGACAAGAACAAGGACAAAGTTCTTCTACTACACCACCACCACCACCACATTTTACACCAATTATGGCAGAACCACCACCTCCACCACCAG